GGCTTAAAGGATCCCTTCCAACCACAATACCCTGCGCGCCTCTATTATTGTTTTGATGCCTAGTCAAATAGAAAGAACAATAAATTTGGAATGCGATTGAGGAAATTCAAGACCTCAGTGAGGCAAATGTACTCGGATGAACGAGGATTTCTTTCCACTTCACGACTTGTCCAATACCGGATGGCAGAGAAAATGGCGGATTTCACATATCGCGCGCGCAATGTATTGTGGTTGGAAGGGATCCTTTAAGAGACAAGTTATGAAAGATTTGGAAGAACAACTATGACTTAGGGCGAAGAAAATTGAAAAAACGGTTTACAAATAACGAAATTGAAAAAGTGGGCCAACTTTTTCACGACAGAATTTAAACCGTGTCGATATTCCTTCGGCACACAGTTGTTAAAATGCAAAATAAAAGCTCATACACACAAAATAATGATGAAAAATCACACTGCCCTTTTAACTTACTTCAGCTCTTTGCAGTCTTCTAACAACTGTTTGACGTCACCACTATAGTACCCAATCCTTCCTCCGCTCACAAACAAGTTCAGCTGAGAACATTGATTTTAAATCATTTTTAAATCATTCTTGTGTTATTATTTGTAAGAGTACTGTTACATTAGGTGGTAGCAAAAATCAATACGATACCTCCAACCTTAATTTTGCAAGCAAAGGAAACAATTAAGGATAACAATGCTCTATCTCAGAAATTAGCACAAAATCATATCCTCTCAAATGTGTTGATGAGTTAGATCTTCCGTTTGGAGCAAACTTATTAATCATGTCTTCGGATTGACAATCAAAAGTCCAAAAAAAAGCAAAATGTTGGTAAGATGTAGTTATGAGTTGTCTGAGGTCCCTACAAGAATTGCCAAGTTTTCTTAGCATCTGTATGACTAATTGAGTGATATGAAACTCACGTGATTTATCCGTTCGTACATGTGAGCCAGCGGTAAAAATGACAGCTGCACATCCTCCGTTGTCAGCTCGAAACCGCTCTGTAATGAATATCGAAGAAGCAAGACAAGTTAGGAATTTTTGTAGTCATTTTATTATGATTTAGTTTGCAGAAAGCTGGTGATCAATCTTTCTTTCTGCTCGGAGTTAAGGTCGGGAGACGCGTACTTCTTTGGAAGGCCTAAGTTGAACTGAGAATTTCGAGATAATTTGGATATATCAACAAAGTTGAAATGGTAAATTGGCCACCGTAACGATTATAAAAGCTGACGTTTCGAGCGTTAGCCCTTCGTCGGAGCGAATAGAGGAATTGTGGGTTGTGTGTGCTTTTAAAGGCAGAAAATGGAGCTACGTTATTGGTGGGAACATGGCAACGAGAAAAACACGAATANAAACGTCAGCTTTTATAATCGTTACGGTGGCCAATTTACCATTTCAACTTTGTTGATATATCCAAATTATTTCGTTACCCCCACCGACGCAGCCCCAAACAGTTTCTTTCGAAACTATCAGTCTTTATTCATTTGAGAATTTCGAGAGCAGGTTTGGGGCTAAATATGGTGAAGCACCACAATATTCCGAACTGTTACCCAACCCAGGTTCCTACGAAGTTTTTAATGGACTGTACAGAGAACTTCATATCGACGGGGAGTCAAGAGATTGTCATGATAGCTGCTTATAGAAAAGCTTGTATCGTGACGGGACCCAGTGCCCAGCTAAAAAGAACGGCACAAACACACATGCATACCTGAAGCATCATCCAACGATATGCTGAGATGTCAGCGACAAGATTGGCATGTGTCAAGATGGCTCCCTTTGGTGGACCTATAACCATGAAGTGAGATTAGCATACAACGAAACACTCAACAAATGTGACATCTTTTTGGTTTGTGACGTCTACAACGCAGCAAAGCCGGTAAAAACTAAAAGTCAATGTGCGTGGTCCCGCTCAACACTTGAAAAAAGTAGTGAGAAATTTTTTAAGGATATCATTTGATGTTCTTTTTGAAGCCTTTACACTTCCCGAGAGAGAGTTGAGGAGAGCATCGACAATCTCGCTAAACCAGAATAGGCAGTATGCTTAGATGCCAAGCCTTTGATTTGGAGTGAGGCTGAAAGTGACTTTATTGATAGAGACCAGTATCTAGTTAGCATGGTAACGCAGTTATTTACTTTTGAAAAATTGTCTCATAAAAGAGTCACCCTTATCCTTTTTCTTGTTTAAAGGCTTGGCAGCCAAGCACACAACTGTGGCCCCTGGCTCTCAACACTCCACCGGACACGTTGCTTTTGAAATACGACACAGTTTTGCACATCAGCCAATCAAAGTATGCCCATTCCTATGATTCTCCTGAAAACTGATATTTAGGAAATTGCCAGTGGTTTAGCGTGATCTGTACCCTTATCGACAGCGATATTTGTTATCACAGTGGTAAAATTGTGCGCCTCTTGAGTCCACATCATTTTCACCATTGTTATAACGAATATCAGTGTCGATATAAATACTGACCACGCTAAATCACTGTCGATTTACTAAAGCGAAAATCATGTAAGACCATAGTAATCACTGCAAATTAAAACCCAGTGCTCTCAAACTCGCAAGGACTATTCTGCGATCCTAATGATCAACAAATGTGTCACTTAACATCCATAAATGGTGGTATGACCGCTATTTTTTACCATTATAATATCGGCATTAAATAAAGCAGTTTTCTCAGTATGTGATCATCGCGTGACACCTTGACGCGAACAGCGTTGTCTGCACTCTTTTCCACAACGGAAAATTGGCGAATCAGATTGCGAAATTACTGCCAATTGTGGTAAAAATGATTATCGTCAGGAAGCCTAGCAAGAGAGGAGACTGGTCATCATCTACAAAGAGGAAGGTCCGGATGAGAGGGAAAGGAGACAAGGCGGGGGGAGGAGGAATCATGAGAATCAAAAGCATTTCTTACAGCTGTAGAGTGGGATCCATTCTCGGGGGAAGCGGGTAATAAGGGGTTGTCAAGGCCCAAAAATCTCACCCGTTGTTCCACTTGTGTAACATACTGTTAAAACGTCTTC